TGGTTATTGACTACAGCAGAGAAAAGTCAAGGCCAGGCCAAAAAGAGCAGGTTCACAGAGGGCTGCTGCCACCCTCGACTCTGGGCAAGAGTCCCCCACTCTGGGAGCTCTCCGCCTGCTCCATGGTATAAGGCAGCAGGCTAAGGGACTGCAAGAGGTACATGCGGGGCTGAGGGCCTCTGGTGAAAGGGAGTTTCAGAAGGGGGAAATGAGAAGGGGAGTCGCAGGGCTCTACCGAGAAACAAGGGGTGCCACACGCATGCGCCATCCCCATGAAGCAGAGGCCTCCTCTGGCTGACGTCCCTGTCAGCCATAATCACAGCTAGAGCACCTGTCTCCCAAGGAACATTCCACAGCAGCTGAAGAGAGATGTTAGCTCATGCCGGGCCAACAGTGCAAGCGGAATCTTTCAGACAGTCCCCGGCAAAGATCAGCAGTTCTTAATATAGAATGCCTCCTCATGTAGATCAAAGGAATGCAAAGGTCCTGGTGAGTCTCCAAGGCACTGAGTTCTTAAGAATGTAATTATGGATTGGAAGAAGCTAAGTCCCTAGAGTCCAAAAGTTAGTTGTCAAATTGTAAGTGCCGAGAGAGAGAGAGAGAAGAAAGAAAGGAATCCTGGCTAGATTGGACTATTTGTCATGGTGGGATGGAAGTGGTTTAATAGCTGCTTTGCTGGATTTTCTAGCACTCCTTGAAATACAGGTTCCTTGATAAGTAGTGTGTATTTGGAAGACTTTCTGTTTCTGCAAAAGCGTTACTCAAACCCTGTACACACACACACACACACACACACACATATAAATATGTACTCCCCAAATTTTTGGAATCAGTGACACCTAACAGTGTTGAAGACATAAGCCAAAGAAATATGCTTAAATTTGGTAATAAATGAGTCTCATGGCAGGAGGGAGATGTACAACAATCCTAATTGACTATGTAAATACAACTCATGCTGTTAAATTGTTCTAGAGAGGGCACAACAGCATGAGGTACTTGCAGTTCTTCCAGCAGCCTTCAAACCTGCTGTAACAGGCTATGAGCAGATAATACCCCAGCGGCAGAGCATGAAGACTAAGCTGAATAGTACATGTTCACCTAACAGAGCTTACCCCAAGTGAAAGGGCTTTATTAAAAAGAGCAAGGGATGTGCTCGATAGGCTCTGGGGGTGGCTATGTTCACAGTAGGGAAGGAGGGGTTATGTTTTGAGATGAGAAATGGTTTCCACCCCCTCACCACACACACCCTGCATGAAATCCCATCCTATCCAAACCCTCCATTGGGAGAAACCAGCTGAGATATCTTGCCCACTGTCTCTTTCTGCAAGACTCCACATGTCACAGAGGCTGGATTTACTCCACTCAGTGGAGCCAGGGCAGGACCAGAAGTGGGGAAAGCAGAGGAGTGAACTAGAGACTAGGCAATGGCTTTGCCTGTCTGTTTGTTGCTTATTTTTAATGATTTGTTTAAAGCCCATCCATGAAAATTACTGACAGTATTTCTTCAGTTAAGAAATCATCATAAACTGCTCTCTTATCTAAAGAACTTTGAAAGTAGAAGCTCTAAAGTTCAACTTTCTGCCACAGGCTGCCTGCCATTGGCCACACCACAGGCTCCAGCTCCAGAAACACACAGAAGCAGAGAGGGCAAGATTTGAACACCCCTTAGAGATGGATGAACCAACCCCACCAGCTCAAACTTCTCCCCATCCTATAGCCAGCTGGGGGCAGTCACACAGACAGTTGGAGACAGTCTTGCATCAATGCTGGGGAAACCGGAAGTTATAGGTTTTAATTTCTTAGGCAGACCTCATTTGTTCACATCTAAGTCTCCATCTTATTTAATGAAAAGCCTTGGGAAATCCAAAATGGGAGGCCAGCCCTTACTTTTCTTGGGAAAGGTAAGAGTGAGCAGGTTAATTGTCAAGTCCTGGAATAATCACAGATCCAGGTAGGGCAAAGGTCTGTTAAGATTAAACAGATTTAACTATGCAAATTCCATTACCTTCATAATAAAACCCTCTCTTTGTTTACTGATAGTTAATCGGAGGACACCAGACATAAATATAAATCATTTAACCATGTAAATAAGCAAACTGTGTTTACTGTAGGAAATTGTGTTTGTTCCCTTAAGTCATAAAATTTTTATTTAGGAAATTGAATTTGTTCCCTTAAGTTGTAAAATAAGCTCACTAGCTTTGAATTAATTTAATCCACCAGTCCACACAGTGTGTAGATCTTACTCATCAGAAAATCTCACATTCCTAGACTTCCTCTTCTCAGGCTTATTGGGAGCTAGTAAATCAACTGTCACTCTAGTAGATTTAAATCCAAACATATAAAATTTTCATTTTTCCCTAATGGAGTTTAATTAGTTTTTGACTTAAACTTTTTTTTTTTTTTCTTTTTGAGACGGAGTCTCGCTCTGTCACCAGGCTGGAGTGCAGTGGTACAATCTCAGCTCACTGCAAGCTCCGCCTCCTGGGTTCACACCATTCTCCTGCCTCAGCCCCCTGAGTAGCTGGGACTACAGGCTTGCGCCACCACTCCCAGCTAACTTTTCTATTTTTAGTAGAGACGGGGTTTCACCATGTTGGCCAGGATGGTCTCCATCTCTTGACCTCGTGATCCACCCGCCTCGGCCTCCCAAAGTGCTGGGATTACAAGGCATGAGCCACCACACCCAGGCTACTTCAACTTGATCTTACTATTAGAGTAACTTAAAGGAAAAGAGTCAGGTTTTCCACAATTTCTGAATGTTATTCTTTCTATCATACCAAAAAAGTTTGGATGTAACTAAATTGTACAAAATAGATAGGTGTTAAACTTGTAAACTGAATCCTATTTGACATGTAATGGGTACTTAGTATCTGGAACAAACAACCTTATGTAAAATAATGTATCTACCTAATTTTATTGAGTTTATATTTTTAAGATATTTATGTGTAGTGATTACTTGGTGCTTTTATTTTTTATTTATTTTTATTTATACTATTTATTTATTTATATTATTTTATTATTATTATTTATTTTAAATTAAAATCTGTGGCACCTGGCCATAAGTAGGCTGGGCACAGTGGCTCACACCTGTAATTCCAGTACTTTGGGAGGCCGAGGTGGGCAGATAGCTTGAGGTCAGGAGTTCAAGACCAGCCTGATCGACACCCCGTCTCTACTAAAAATGTAAAAATTAACGGGCATGGTGGCTTGTGCCTGTAATCCCAGCCACTTGGGAGGCTGAGGAAGGAGAACTGCTTGGACCGAGGAGGCGGAATTTGCAGTGAGCAGAGATGGCGCCACTGAACTCCAGCTGGGGCAACAGAGCAAGACTCTGTCTCAAATAAATAAATAAATTGAGATCTGTGTTAACATCTTATTTCATTCTCTCCACCCTTCACCTTGTATAAATAGGCTCCAATCATGAGTGGCAATCATGCAAATAGGAACACTCCATTTGGGAGTAATGTTCCACAATTTACACAGACTGTCTCATCCGATCATCAGAGTCTGTTGTGCTGTGGGTTTTACCTCCACTTGACAAGTGAAGACCCTGAGGCTCTGAGAGGTTATGTGACTTGCTCAAGATAAGCAGCTAGTAAATGATAGAGTCAGAGTGTAAAGCCAGGTCTTCTGATACCAAATGTAATGTCCTTTCGGCCGCCACGATGTCACATTTGAGATTGAGCTTCTCTCCTCTTCCAGCGTCTGGTCATATCTGCTGATGCAGTCAGGCCGGCATGTTGAAAAGCTTTGGATTTCTGATTGCATTTTTGCTGTGGCAAAGGCATGTGCCTCTAGCAGTGTCGCTTAGGAAATGACATTTTTAACTCTCTGATTCGCATTTCTGAAAAACATTTTCTTCTTGCAGGGAGACATTTGGGCCATTACCTAGTTAACATTTGCAAACTGCTATAGGAAATTCATCTGCTTGAAAGGAACATGATTAATAGCATCACCCTCAGAAACAGAAGGTGAGGTGTTAATTATTAACAAGAGCTTGCTTAAAAGATACAATACGGAATTCTTAACAGAGCTGTTGGGAATATTAGGATGGAATGAACAGGATCTATTGAAACCACCTCAAGAGTGTAAAAAGGCACTGCTCCCGCTCTGAGCAATCACACACCCGAAAGGGTGGAGTGGGAAAGAACCACTTGCTATTCTCATTGCTATGATTCTTATCTTTATAAAAATTCCAAAACCTATCAGGTGACAGATTCCTACTTGGTCAAAAAGCCAGCATTTGCCACTCAATGAATTCAACCAATCTTTACTGAACACCCATGTCAGGCAAGACTCGAAGCCACATTCTTGGAGAACTAATAAAGGATACGGAGGCTATCTCCAGGACTGGTGGATCAGGGTAACGCTCAAATACCAATGGACCTGTCTGAAGACCTGGGCAGCTTCAAGAAGAGCAGAAATACTATCTGGAGAGTGTGTTAGGAGTGAGGAACAAAATAATTAACATTTCCTGAGCACCTTCTATGTACCGAGAGTGCTCAGTGTGACTTAATTGAATCTTTGCAGCCCAGCAATTCTATGCATTGGGTTATCGTCTCCATTTCACAGATCAGCACACTGAGGCTTGATGCGCTGATTTGCTCACACCTGGCTAAATGGTAGAGCCAGGCTGCATCCTCCTAGCAGCTCTGCTCTACCTCTGAAGAAAATGGCATTTGGAATCAGGCCAGGGAATGGCTGATAGAAACAAGGAACTGGAAAGTATTCCAGACAGTAGGAAATGAGGGAGCATCATGGGAAATTCTAGGTTGGTATTTATTATAAGGAATCTTAGAAGTCTGGCTTGGGAGTCTGTGCTTAACTTGGTAAATAGTAGGTGTCTTTGCATATCAAATCATCTCTCCTCAGTAAATTAGGATGTGTTGGATTTATCTAGAACCCAGGGTTTTTCTGAAACCATTTAACATGTAAATAAAGGAACAAAAGATTTACTCTACTGTGGTCAGACAGAATTAATGTAAGTTCAGTAACATAAATAAAATGATAATCATAAGTCACTTTATTTGTCATCAAGTTATATTATTAACAGGTTATTGTCATCAACAGATTAAAACAAAATGTCTCAAAAGGACAAAGGCAAACACATACTACCGAGGGTAAACAATGACCATCCCAGGCTTTCCAAGCATGTATATCACTTACACTCATGGACTTTTTTTCATTTTAAAAGGGCACTTTTGCATGTGTTTTATAACTATAAAAGTAATATATGCTCATTGCAGCAAACTTAGAAAATGCAGAAACGCACAAGTATCTGTCTTCCATACAACACTAACTGCTACCTACCCTACATAGCTGTTGTTTCTCACTTTGCAAACACTCCAGTGCTTTTTTATAACGTGTAAAGCGTTCCCCCAATTAAGTAGTCTATTGACTGGAAGTTCACAGGCTTCTGCTCTCATTGATTAGCAGAATTGGTCACACCTGTTAGATTCCCAGCCACCTCCTTTGTCATTTTCTCTCCTCTCTCTCCACCACTTCCCTCTCCCCTTTAAGAAAGACCTATCTCAGCCTGATGCAGTGGCTCACGCCTGTAATTTCAGCACTTTGGGAAACCAAGGTGGGCAGATCACTTGAGGTCAGGAGTTCGAGACCAGCCTAGCCAACATAGTGAAACCTCATCTCTACTAAAAATACAAAAATTAGCTGGGCATGGTGGCAGGCACCTGCAATCCTAGCTACTCAGGAGCCTGAGACAGGAGAATCGCTTGAACCTGGGAGGTGGAGGTTGCAGTGAGCTGAGATCGTGCCATTGCACTCCAGCCTGGGTGACAGAGCGTGGCTCCATCTCAAAAATAAAAATAAAGAAAGAAAGACCCATCTCATGAGTGCCAGAGACACAGGGGACCAAGCATAGGTCTACCCTGAGCACTTAACATGGGGGGCGGGGCACTTGAACATTCCTTTTTTCTGTCTTTCATTCAACTGCTCAATAAGGTTCAAAATTAATATTCAAAATTAAGAAATGTCAAAACATTACCTTTGGGTTGGCATTCAAATAAACACGGGGAAGGGGAAACTTGAAATGCACAAGCATAAAAGTAACCTGTACATTGGTTATAAGGAATGAAATCGATGACTCTCACTTGTCAAAATGGGCTCCTCCCAGGAAGGAGTGACAGCTTCAGATGACTTTCTGACATTTTCCCCTTATCAACATTCATTTACAGAGTACTTTTGCAGTCACCAGGGAGATACAAATGATGTCCAAGATAGAGCCCTGCCTTCTTCCATAGTTTCAATCTTAACAGGAAAAAAAAAAAAAAAAAAAAAAAAAAAAAAAAAAAAACCATAAAAAGACATATAGGGAAACAAAAAAAAAAAAAACCTTTCAGATAAGATATAAGTGGTATAATATCGCTAGAATGTTCTGGGAATTCAGAGCCTGGAGCTCTCCCTGACTGGGGGGATCAGGACTTTGACCTAGGCGTTGGAGTACAAATAAGATATACATGTGAAATGTGTGCGTGTGTGTGTGTGTGCATGTGAGTCCAGGTGGATGTGCACAGGTGAGGGGACTCAACACAGAAATAGCAGATTGAGCCAAGGTGAGGGGGTGTAGGAGACCAAGACATGTTGAAAGAAGAGAAAAGACCCAAACTTGGCTGAAGCAAAGAGAGTAACAGAAGAAAAGGAAGGTTGAAAGCCTGAAATGGCAGACTGAACGTTGGACTTTATTCCCTCTGCAATTTGGAATCATTTAGTCATTGAGCAAATGTTCCTTAATCACGTGGCCAGGCCCTGTGATAGGTATGGTGAGAAACAGAAAAAAACAAACAAAACAAACAAACAAAAACAACATGGTCCCTTGCTCTTGCCACCAAATTTCATGATAACATAAATTTCTGGAAATAGAACTTAAACTCAAAGAGGACTTATGAAGAGCAAAACAAAATTAGCCAAGATAACAGTTAATAATAAGGAATCTTCTTTGGTTACTTATTGCTGTGTGACAAATTATCCCAAAGTTTAATGACTTAAAACAACAATCATTTGATTCTTTGTTCATGCTTCTGCAATTGAGACGGGCTTGACAGAGACGCTTGTCTCTTTTCCATATGGTGTCAACTGGAGTAGCTTCAACGGCTAGGGTCTGGCTGGAAGGGACAACTTGTGTCATGTGTCTGGACTTCGGACTCTGCTGTGGGTTAGTGTCTCCATTCTCCTTCACATGGTGATCTCAGGCACTCTCCTTTGTTCCTGGTAGTTCAACTTCTTATGTGGCAGCTGGCTTCCCCCACAATTCAAACGAGGAAACTCCCAGGGTTCTAGGCCCAGCACAGTGCCATTTATCACAATCTCCTGATTAAAGCAAGTCACAAAGGCAGCCCAGATTCAAACAGAAGGGACTAAATAAGGACATGAGTATCAGGAGGCATGACTCATTGGGGGCCACCAAAATAAAAGGTTACTGTGGAATCTTAAAGTCAAATAATTCAACCACATCTTCCACAATTTTAACCAATACAGCAACGTTAACTGCATACGTTTTTCTACTGTATACCACATAACCCCACCCATCTCACCTTATCCCCACCTTTTTGAATGCCAGCCACATGCAGTCATTTCTCAGACCACTCACTGATCACTTAATGGAACTGCATCAAGTTTAAACCAACCTTGCAACAAAATTTCGAAGAGGCCAACATCCAGGGAGCAGGTGCTGGGAGGGGCAGGGGGCTTACCCCTCAGAACCACCCACACCCTCTTGAGCCTGTGTCCATCCTAAAATCTCTTGCTGTCATGTTCTTCAGATTCAAAACAGGAAGGAAGAAAATCCATTCCTGCCTGGCACTTGCCACTCCATCTGCCATCTCCCACATCCTCATCTCGCCTAGGCCTCTCCTCACCCCCACATCTGTGTCACACCACCCTGTCCCTGGGACCTACAGCAGAAAATTGAGTTCCTGGTTCTCAGAATGCTGTTTAAGATCCTGCTGTAGTTTTTATAATCTCTAGTGTTTTAAATTGTCTTGAACAAAACACTCTGGGTGTGGCCTGGATACTGAGTTCAGGGGTGGTACCAGAGTTTCTATAGAAGCTTGGGATGCAATCTGGTTGGAGGGAGGGTGAGCGGGACTAAGAGATTTTTCTTGTGATTTTTATGAGAGATGTGACTCCTCAGATAACTAGGATTGATCACCAAAATAATTGGCATTAATAGCCAAAAAGTAATTAATAAAAACATACACTCAGCTCACATAAATTAACGAAAATGTATACTTAGTACATATAAAAGCAAAAGTTAACTGGGCTTAGTAGAGAAGCAGAAGCAGAGACGTTTGCGTTTGTTTTGTTTTTAATATTTCTAACCATCCATCAGTTATTCCACGGACAGGCAGGATGGCATGGTTATTGAGTATGGGCTCAAGAAATCAGACCATACGCATTTGAATTCCAGCTCCATTGTTCACTGAGTTATCTGGGGCAAGTTACCTAATTTCCCTGTGTCTTAGCTTTCTATCTATAAAATGAGAACAATAGTAGTACTTACTATCTCATAGGGTTGTCGCAAGTATTAAATAGAACTTACAAAAAGCACTTTGACCGCGTCCACTAAATTGTAAGCACTCAGTAAGTGTTACCTACTATTGTTATCCCTTAAGTTATCATGAGCGTGAGGATTTTCAACACATGCTTTATATATTTTTTTCTCTCTATTAATTCTTGTTTCGGATGATCTTGAAAGCAATGACTGTTTACACTTATGAGACGCTAAAGATACCCCTGCAAGCCACCTTCTTGGTATCTTGGCCAACTTTAAATAAATCTTGGCAAGAAAAGGTATCAATAGCAAATACACCAAAAACAAAAACAAAAACCAGAAAAAAAAAAACAAAAACAAAAAACAAAAACCTTAAGGTAACAAGTATTGTCCTAAGCCTCAGAAATTGAGTATTAAAAATAAAAGCTAGGTGACAGAGATGAACCTAAGGAAGAAAAAGCTGAGAAATAAGCACTGAATCTACATACACTTGGAATGTTTTAAAGAAAGTGTGTACCTGCTCATCAAATTTGTATGGGGAAGAAATGAAATAAGTGAAAGCAGTCTAGAATTTTACTTTAGATATAATCATACAATTCCATGTATTATTTTTGCCTTTGATTGCTCTCCCAGCACCCTCTTTTCCATTACAATCCCAAGAGGCAAGGAGAAGAGGCATCCAGTGAGATAAAACAGGGGAACACGATGGCTCAGCAATGCCCTCACATAGAACCATTTCCCTGCTGCTCTGCGCTTACAGAATTTTATTTGCGTAGAAGAACTGCAGGATCTCTGGATGATAATGGCTCTGAAAGAAATTAGCAAAGGTACGTGTGAGGGCGGGATTCAGCAAACTTCCTTGACTATGTAACTAGTAGGCAGTGGTCAGTGCAGGGCACGTGGATAAGCAGGACAAGTGGAGGCATCACCTGCGTCCAGCTAGTGACCTGAACTGGAACTGCCAATATATCTCGTGCTTGATCCTCTAGGTGTTTTGTCATTTACGTTGTATGATGGGTCAGTTACAATCAAAACATAGTTGGCTTGGCTGGGCATGCTGGCTCACACCTGTAATTCCAGCACTTTGGGAGGCCGAGGCAGGCAGATCACTTAAGATCAGAAGTTCGAGACCAGCCTGGGCAACATGGTGAAATCCCATCTCTCCTAAAAATACAAAAGTTAACCGGGTGTGGTGGCACACGCCTGTAATCTCAGCTACTCAGGAAGCTGAGGCACGAGAATCGCTTGAACCTGGAGGTGAAGGCTGCAGTGAGCCGAGATGGTGCCACTGTACTTGCTCTGGGTGACAGAGCAAGACTCTGTCCAGAAAAAAAAAAAAGAAAAAAAAAAAAACATAGTTGGCCTGAGTCATTTTATGGGGGGTATCTCTTTCTTGTGCTTGGCCACCTTCCGTGTCAATCACCAGGAGGGCAGGGACCGGAAGAGAATTCTCTGCTACCCTGGCTCACTCACCAGCTGCCAGTAGAGCTTAGTGTTCCTTTGATCTTCTTCGCTCTGGAAGCTGTATTCCTTCCTTAGTTTCAGATATGGAGAACAGGCTCGAAATGTTGTTTTGCAAGCCTGAGAAAAATAATGTTACTATTTTATTTATTAGAGCATTCTATAATCCCAAGCAAGGAAAAGTATCCCAGAGGATTGCACCCAATCTGTGGTCAGAGGGCCACTGAAAGTGTGAAAGTAACTTCCAGGTAGTTTCAACATTTGAATCTTAAAGGATGTATGCTTATAAGACAGCCATGTCTGTAATTTGGGGACTGGCAGGAAGGGCATAGCTTTATAGTTTAGCACAGCCCTTGTTATTATCTCATCAAAAGTAGTACTGGATTCCAAAATTTAATTTCTCTCTCAGTAACTTAAATAAAGCAATGGTGGCACGTAAGCTTGGTTTAGCGGATATGAAAGGCTATTCTGAGCTGGACATTGACAGTGGCAAAAAAAAAAAAAAAAAAAAAAAAAAAAAAAAAAAAAAAAAAAAAAAAAAAAAAAAAAAAAAAAAAAAAAAAAAAAAAAAAAAAAAAAAAAAAAAAAAAAAAAAAAAAAAAAAAAAAAAAAAAAAAAAAAAAAAAAAAAAAAAAAAAAAAAAAAAAAAAAAAAAAAAAAAAAAAAAAAAAAAAAAAAAAATACTGGGCTTGGGCAGGTGGGGCAGATGGAAAATAACACTCTTGCTCAAAGAGAGATTACACACTGAAGAGGCACCTTGTCTAGGATGCATAAAGAAATGCTGCTAAGTATCTACAGCAGTGCTAGCAGGAACCCCAGGGTCTGGCGTCTCAACTCGCAACTCCCTTTATGAATAGCATGGAGATGTCACTCTGTTGGTTGCAGAGTCAAGGTCTTACCTTGGCAACCTGGGGGTTTCTGTCCTGTAAATGGATCAGGAGGGAATCTCGTGTCTGCTTAACCTGACCGGTGAAAAATTTTTTCCATTTCCTCCCGGCAAAGGCAGCCAATTGCCCAAACAAAACAAAGGCCGAGTATCTCAGACTGTCGTTCTCCTGTGGTCCCCGTCGACAAAACAATAAGAAAGCCAGATCATTACCAAAAGGCAATTGCATCTGAACACATCACAGCCGTCAATCAGAACACATCACAGCCGTCAATCTTGGCTGTACATTACAGGGTGGGCGGTGAGATCTGGTCTAAACCACTTAGCTGGGTGGGTGGGGGTGGCTTGAAGAGGGCCCAAAGGCTTCAGTGAACCTCTTCTCCAGCAGATGAGAGGACTAGCCTGGGAAATCACTAGTGCTACTCCCACCTTCCCAGATTTTTTGTTCATTATTTCGTGTTTTGGAGATAGAATACATTTGTAAAGTTCGCAAAATTCAAAATAACCAAAAAGCTTTATAGAACAAGTAGATCTACTTCCTACTCCTCTCCATCGGCCACCAAATTTTCCTCCCCACAAGCTAATAAAGTTATGTTTTGTGTGTATCTCTCCCGAAAATAAAGAAGAAAGATGTGTATCGTGTGATCCTTTCCCTCTTTTCTACATCAATGGAAGCACACGCCACTGTTGTTATGCACCTTGAGTGTTCATCAGTCTGAGAGCTCTTTCTACGTCAATACACAAAGGAGTTTTCATTTTTCTTTTTCTTTTCTTCTTTCTCTTTTTCTTTTCTGCACCAAAATTCATTCAACCAGTTCCCTGTTTATTACTCCAGCATTTTTGCCAAGTCTCTTCTCTTTGCTTTTGGTCTGAGTTTCTCCTATCTGCAGTGGATATAATAATCATGTTTCTTCCCCCAACACCCTCCCACCTCTCCCTGATTCCAGTCTGATTGGTGGGTTTGTCCCTGAGTGCATTTCAGTGGACTCCACCCTCTCTTTCTTTCCAAGGTGAGCTGTTTGGTCCAAGTATTACCTTTCCAGGTGAGGAGAACAAGGCCCAAGGCACTTAAGCAACTTGACCAAAATCACACTGTCAGGTAACAGAGCCAGTATAGTAACCCAAACACCTGACTCCTGGTGCACGGGTTTTGTAGTCTAAGTCCTCCTCCAGGTAAACCAGAGGGAGGAGGGCTGGGGTGGGCCTTCACAGTGGGGGAGGAGCACCAAGAACTGGGGGTCACAGAGACCCAGCAAGACTGAGGACCACTAATGGTATCGTGAAGTATATTTTAAAAGTTTAGCACATGATGCATACCGAAATTGCCTTAGGATTGCATTTTATTTTATTTTTTTTAGACATAGCATCTTGCTACATTACCCAGGCTGGCCTCCAACTCCTGGGCTCAAGTGACCCTCCTGCCTCAGCCTCCTGAGTAGCTGGGATTACAGGCACACACCACCATGCCTGGCTTAGGGTTGTATTATCTTCACTGCTCTATCAGTGAGGGTGTGTGTGTGCGTGTGTGTGTGTGTGTGCGTGTGTGTTTAACTAACTTTAATGGAGAATGTACCCATCCAAAGCCATACCCTAATGCTATAAGATGTATAGACATGTAAAACAGATGCCCGTCCTCCTAGGGACGGGCCTCAGATAGTGAAGAGTGCTATCTGTAATCGAGATATAAACTGTCAGCAAACAGCTCTGCATAAGAATTTCTGTGTTTCTACGTGGCCAGGGATTTCTGCTCAAAAATTCCAGGCAACCAGGGTTTTTAAAAACGGTTGAAGGCCAGGCACATGTCTCATGCCTGAAATCCCAGCCCTTTGGGAGGCTGAGACAGGAGAATTGCTTAAGCCCAGTTAGAGACCAGCCTGGGCAACATAGTGAGACCTCATCTCTACAAAAACTACAAAAATTAGCCAGGCACAGTGGCATGCACTTGTGGTCCCAGCCATTCAGGAGGCTGAGGTGGGAGGATCGCTTGAGCCTGGGAGGTTGAGGCTGCAGTGAGCTGTGTTCCTAGGCCACTGCACTCCAGCCTGGGCAATAGAGCGAGATCCTGTCTCAAAAAAAAAAAAAAGTGGTTGAACGACAAACACATTCTGGAAGTTCAGATGGCACCTCCAAGAGATTTAGAGCCATTTCCCCAGAGACATCTGCTTACACTCCAGTGTGGTAAGTAGGGACCTTTCCTCGCTCCCTCCCCAGAGAGGACTGGCTTACATTCAAGAGCAAAAATCCCGCTGTGTCTCTGGAGCAGGTGGGACACAGGTGCCCAGCTCCTATATGAGCTCCAAGTTACATAAGGTCAAGGCCTCTTCTCCCCTCCTGTGCTGCTGACACATCTGGCTCTCGCCATGTGGCTCCAGAGAGAATTAGGGCTTGGGGACATGCTGCAAATCTCTCTGGGAGTAAATAAAAGGTCTGTTCACTGTTCTGTAGGTCTTGTCTTTCAGGGACAGAATAACTGGCAGGCTAACTTGTTAGCTTGCAGTCAGGGTCTCTGACACTTCTCAGTTTCGGACTGAACAATGTGCCGGTGCACTTTTTGCTTAGCCTGACTTGTCATCTGAGAGTTAAGAGTGCAGCCCTATAGTCAGAGGAGCTGGTGACATGGCTACTTCCTGGCTCTGTGAACTTGGGCAAGTTCTAACCTTTCTGTGCCTTGGTTTCCTTGTCTATAAAGTGAAGATAATTTCAGTGCCCATCTCACAGGGTTATTGTGAAGATTATATGAGATGATTCATGTAAACTGCCTAGCACTGTGCCTGGCACACAGTGAGGGCTCACTAAATGCTAATCATTGCTATTGCCACATTTATAAGAGAGCATTGACTACATGTTAGTCAATCAGTGTACATCATCATCAGTGTACATATACCCACTTCTCTGTTAAGATGAATAGTCGCCAGGCGCAGTGGCTCACACCTGTTATCCCACCACTTTGGGAGGCCGAGGCAGGTGGGTCCCTAGAGCCCAGGAGTTTGAGACTAGCCTGGGCAATATAGTGAAAACCCATCTTTACCAAAAATACAAAAATTAGACAGGCGTGGTGGCATGTGCCTATAGTCCCAGTTACTTGGGAGGCTAAGGTGGGAGGATCACTTGACCCCAAAAGGCGGAGGTTGCAGTGAGCCGAGATCACGCCATGGCACTCCAGCATGGGCGACAGAGTGAGACCCTGTCTCAAACAAACAAAAAAACCCTTGAGGGGTAGAGAGAAAATTCTATGCATCTTTATATGTCCTCCCAACCCTAGCACAGCACTAGTCTCTCAACAAGATGTGTTAATAAATAAGTGAATAATAGAGACCTTGTTCCCACAGCAACAAACCATCCACAGCTCACATGTCTTTTTTTTTTTTTTGAGATGGAATCTCGCTCTATTGCCAGGCCGCAGTGCAGTGGTGCGATCTCGGCTCACTGCAACCTCTGCCTCCCAAGTTCAAGTGATGCTCCTGCCTCAGCCTCCTGAGTAGCTGGGACTACAGGCGTGTACCACCAGGCCCAGCTAGTTGTTTGTATTTTAGCAAAGACAGGGTTTCGCCATGTTGGCCAGGGTGGTCTCTGTCTCCTGACCTCGCGATCCACCCACCTTGGCCTCCAAAGTGTTGGGATTACAGGCATGAGCCACCACGCCCGGCCCCACAGTCACATTTCTAATCCCACTTTGATTTCAATAAAGCAGAATTTTTCTAATTTACTTACATCATCTAATAAAGTCCTGGTCTGAAGTGTGATGTCTATGAAGAAGGAACCCAAACCTTTCCCCTGGATCTTGCCCAGAACGACGGTCAGAGTCTTCATACTCTCATGGATGACTTCCAAACTCACAGGGTCATACAATCCGTACACCAGCAGGTCGAGGACAATTTTCTTATGCTTTCTCACCTGTTACCAATGTTTGAAAGCATTAATAGCACAGGAATTGCTCCCTATGGGTTGAAAAGCAACCCCACATCTAGGCTACTAATAACCTAGGACTTGAATTAAGAGACCAAGGCTTTTTTTCAAGATCTGCACAACTCTCATTAAAATAGAAAAGCTCCATTAACCCAACCCAAGAGCCCAACTCAGCCTAGGAAGGAAAACAGAAAGAGTGATCTGGAGTGTGGCATGTGAGTGGGTGAAGCTGGGTAGGGCTCTTCAAATAGGGCGGCAGACCTGGGTGATCTCAGGGCCTGGGGAGAACTAGGTACCTGTATAGTGGGGAGGAGACAAAATGAGCACTGAAGTTGGCAGATGGTAAAGGAGGAGGTGGAAAAAACATCTTTTATGAAACAAACATACATTACTAGAAAAAAATCACTTAAATTTATCAGGAAGGGTAACAGCTGTGAGTTTATCTTTCCTGCAGCTCTGTCTCCCACAACTGATATTGCTGAGGTGACGTGAGCCTAAGATGACCCTGAATGAGTGACACCTTGAATGAGTCTCCTCCGCTTGAGTGCAGAAGGAACCTGTGACTCGCTTCCAGACTACAGACATGACTTTATATTGCATAAGACTCTTTTTTTTTTTCTTTTTTGAAGTGGAGTCTCGCTCTGTTGCTCAGGCTGGAGTGCCTGATGTGATCTCTGCTCATACCTCAGCCTCCCGAGTAGCTGAGATTGCAGGCATGCCTGGCTAATTTTTTGTATTTTTACAAAAATACAAAAGAGATGGGGTTTCATCATGTTGGCCAGGCTGGTCTTGAACTCCTGACCCTCAAGTGGTCCGCCCCCCTTGGCCTCTCAAAGTGCTGGGACTGCAGGCGTGAGGCACCGCAGCCCAGCCCATAACACTCTATCTTAGCAGACAGGAGGAGGCAATACCCTCCTGCTGGCCTGGAGGAAGCGAGTACACATCTACACATCTACAAACATCTAGTACACATCTACAAACAAAGATCTAGTACACATCTACGAACATCTCATTTGGTCTACATAATGCTGTGAGAGAATGGCTTCTAGGCATTGAAAGTGGCCCCCAGCATACAACAGTCAAAAAAACAGAAACCTCTGTCCCGCAACGGGAAGTAACTGAATTCTGCCAACAACTATGTAAGCGAACCCTGAGCTTCAGGAAGGAATGCAGTCTGGCAGACACTTGATTGCAGCCTGGTGAGATCCTGAGCAGAGGACCCAGCTGAGCTACACCTGGACTCCTGACCAGCGAAAACTGAGATAATCAACATGTGTTGCTGTAAGCTGCTAAGTGTGTGCAGTGATTTGTTCCAGGGTGATAGATAACTAATACCTCAGAGACCATACTCCAGCCCTGGAGTCTCCACACCAAGAGGGTTGGAGAGGCTTGGGGGGCTGGCTGAGCCCCACTCTCCTTCCCTACCTTGTCAGGGGCTTCACGGGCCATGGTTCCCAGGCCTCTCATTGCCGTGTGACGCTTGTTAGCATTGGGGTCCCGAGCTCTTTCTGCCAAGATGAAAAGCACATTCTTCAGGGGCTCCCGCTTCTGGAACCTCAGTTTCCAAGAGACCTGGGTGATGGGTCAAAAATGTATTAATTTGGGAGTGTTCAGAGTCATACCCAATCCCAACCCCAATCCCTCCCTCTAAAGAAAATCCCGCGATTGCCTGCTCAATTTTACCCCTTCATTCTCCTACTAAAAATGCCTGAGTTTTGTTGGAAATGTACTCATTTGGTCTACATAATGAATAAATTGATGGAGAAAGAGGGCAATAAAGATAATGCAGGCTGGTGGTAAGGTAGGTTTAGGAGATTACGGGGAGCGGCTCTAGAGCAGCTATGGGCGTGACAGAAGTTGAAAGAAAGAAAGACTTGATCAGTGTTGATGTGACCTGGGAATAGGGATCCGTTTCACAGGGAAAGGAGTGCCATTACTCCTCAAAGAGCTCCCTTTACCCCTTCTTTTCCAGCTCTTTCCCATTTTTCTGCTCTCCTTTGTAGCCAAATGCCTTGAAAGACTTCTATACTTGTTTTCTCCCATTTGTCTCCTCCCATTGCCTCTTGAACCCTCTGCAATCAGGCTAATGTCCCCTCACCCCTACCCTGCCATATGGCTAATTCCAAGGGTCAGGTCTCAGTAGTCACGTTACTCAAACTCTCAATAGCACTTGACATAATTAGCAAAGCATATCTGCAAACATCTAGTACACATCTACAGACATTTCAGGACTGACCTAGTACACATCTACAGACATTTCAGGACTGATGTAGTACACATCTACAAACATTTCAGGACTGACCTAGTACACATCTACAGACATTTCAGGACTGACATAGTACACATCTACAAACATTTCAGGACTGACCTAGTACACATCTGCGAACATTTCAGGACTGACCTAGTACACATCTGCGAACATTTCAGGACTGATCTAGTACACATCTGCGAACATTTCAGGACTGATCTAGTACACATCTGTGAACATTTCAGGACTGATCTAGTACACATCTGCAAACATTTCAGGGCACTTAAAGGATGTCCCAACTCCAGAATGCATGCATCTGAACATGCAATTAAGAGCAGGAAGAGAAATTCATGAATAATGCAAATTGGGGAACACTGTGTGTCTGATGCAGAAACCTGTACTTTAAGAACTAAACTCTATCACTCCTGTAATCCCAGCACTTTGGGAGGCCAAGGAAGGCGGATCGCCTGAGGTCAGGAGTTCGAGACTAGCCTGGCCAACAAGGCAAAACCCCGAAACCCCATCTCTATAAAAATACAAAAAGTTAGCTGGGCATGGTGGCAGATGCCTGTAATTCCAGCTACTTGGAAGGCTGAGGCAGGGGGAATTGCTTGAACCTGGGAGGCAGAAGTTGCAGTGAGCTGAGATCACACCATTGCACTCCAGCCTGGACAACAGAGCAAGACTCCGTCTCAAAAACAAACAAACAAACAAAAACACTGAACTCGAAGTAATTGCAGGGCCAGGGATGGGGCAAGAGATAGGCTAGTCTCTGAGCCTTTGTAGTAAGCCTGTGAGCTCTCATGCAGGAAGACCCTGGTGTGCAGCAGGACCCAAAACACAGCAACAGGTACTAGAGTCAGAATCAAGATGTTGAAAGATCCGGACAAGATCAGAGAAGACAAAAGCCACCTCCCCACCATCCTTAGAGAGGGGCCTAGAGCGGGAGACTGGCTTGAGATTCAGCTATCTCAGTAGTGCTATGGATGAGATTTGGTGATTTCCAAGCTTCATTAGTATTCTTGGATTTTCATTACAGCTCATTCCTTTTTTATCTAACTTTTTTTTTTTTTTTAAAGACAGTGTCTCACTCTGTTGCCCAGGCTGCAGTGCAGTGGCACGATCTCAACTCACTGCAACCCCTACCTCCCGGGCTCAAGCGATCCTCCCACCTCAGCCCTGAGTAGCTGGGACTACAGGGGCATGCCACCATGCCCAGCTAATTTTTGTATTTTTGGTAGAGACAGGGTTTTGTCATGTTGCCCAGGCTGGTTTAGAACTCCTGAGCTCGGCCGGGCGCGGTGGCTCAAGCCTGTAATCCCAGCACTTTGGGAGGCCGAGACGGGCGGATCACGAGGTCAGGAGATTGAGACCATCCTGGCTAACACGGTGAAACCCCGTCTCTACTAAAAAAAATACAAAAAACTAGCCGGGCGAGGTGGCGGGCGCCTGTAGTCCCAGCTACTCGGGAGGCTGAGGCAGGAGAATGGCGTGAACCCAGGAGGCGGAGCTTGCAGTGAGCTGAGATCCGGCCACTGCACTCCAGCCTGGACGACAGAGCGAGACTCCGTCTCAAAAAAAAACAAAAAAACAAGAACTCCTGAGCTCAAGTGATCCACCTGCCTCAGCTTCCCAAAGTGCTGGGATTACAGGCATGAGCCACCACACCATATTTGTATTATTGAGTTAGCAGCAAGTTATTCTCAACTAATCTTCTTGTCATCCTGTAAACATCCTATCCATGTTAAAAGAACTGTCATCAAAGTTTTTTCAGAAGGAACTTCAGGGGAGCAGGACTAACTAACCGCAGACCAAGCAAACATACATCTTACAAAACAGCTGCTGGGAGGAGAAATGTGTCCATAATATTTTGTGTCAGACCTTGGAAAAGAAAGATATCAGTGATGTCCTTTTCTGCTTGGGCTGGGAAGTAGGGATGGAAAGGGGCTGGCCCAGGATTCTCCTCTGTCTTTGGTCCATGGAACTAAAAAAAAAAAAAAATCACATGAACCACAGACACTCAACATCAACAAACATTGTTGTAGAATGCATTGTGCTGGGGTAAGAACATAAGGAGGCAGCAATCCTGAGGCCTGTCTTTAGGAACCTTCCACCGTGGTGAGGAGATAGAACAGTCACATAGATAAATAGCAACCCAAGGCAGCCCAGGAGGAATAGTAGCTTGGGGGTCAAGGGAGATCTGCCCTCTGGTTCCCCACTCCATTCTGCAGATTTCTTTTACCACTATCACCAAAGAAGTAAAATGCAGATCCCCAGGCTCTGCCCACAGAGTTCTCATGAATTGAAATACAGAGTAGCCTCAAATTTTGTGTTTTTAAAAGTTCTCCAAGAATGTAAATTGGTACCTCTTTTTAGAGAGGATTCGGCACTATCTCTTACCACTTTAAAGCACACATAATTGGCAATTCTTTAATCCTATAGAAATTAGCACATCATATGCTCAAAGATATACACAAAGGATAGCCACCATAGCGCCGTAATAAACAACATGGTGTTCTTTAATGGTTTGGGCAGGGGAAGGGGGTGCGGGGCAGGGGTTTGAGACAGGGTTTTACTCTGTCTCCCAGGCTGGAGTGCAGTGGCAGGAACACCGCTCACTGCAGCTTCCACCTCCCAGGCTCAAGCAATCCCCCTGCCTCAGCCTTTGAGTGGCTGGGGCCACAGGTGCATGCCACCACACCCAATTAATTTTTTTTTTTTTTTACGTTGTCCATTCTTGTCTCAAACTTCTGGGCTCATGCAATCCTTCTGCCTCAGTCTCCCAAAGTGTTGGGATTATAGGCTTGAGCCACTGTGCCCAGCCAATGGTTTGAACATAAATAAATTACATATATTATAACTATACAACTTTACAAAAACTGCTATGCAGTCACTAAGAAGAATATTGGGTAGATCAACATGTGCTAAAATAATCTCCATGATAAAATTTTGAGTGAAAAGTGCAAATCCATGTGTACAGTATTTTATCACTTGAGTAAAATCAAAATGAGGGCAGGAAATACATATGTACATATATGCTTGCATATGCATAGAAGGAGGAAAAATACCCAAGAAACATTAAGAGAGATAGATGACTTCTGGGCTGGAAATCCGAGGAATTGAAATTGGAGGGAAACTTACTTTTTTCACCCTTTTTTGTATATGTACAGCTTGTAATTTTACCATCTGCATGTATTATTGAAAGAGTATAATATACATAAGCATAGCTTACCAAGTGATTCTGATCCACAGCCTGACTTGGGGCCAACTAGTACAAACCAGCACTTCTCAAACTTTAATATGCACTAAAATAATTTGAAGATCTTGTTCAGTGTGTCTGCAGCAGGAACTCAAATTTCTGCCTTTCTTCCAAGCTCCCAGAGGATGCCAAGCAGGTACTATGCTTTGAGTGGCAAGGGCATAAAGTTAAGAGCATTGGAGCCGAGAGAGGACCATGGGCTGGAACAGCTGGTGGAGACTTCCCAAAGCACACTGGTGAGCTTGGAAGCAGAGGCAGAGCATATATGACACTTTGGGATTCAACGGGATCCCATGCAGTATCATGGTGATGGTAGCAGTAACGATTAAAATAGTAGGAGAGAGGTAGAACATAGGCTACAGGGGCTAGTTAAAGGCCAGCTGTGGAAGACTCTGACTTCTAAAGAGCTTGATTTCAAATGTACTTTGTAGATATGAGTACCCTGATGATTTTCTTTTAATTTAGGTGAAATCCATGTAACATACAATTAGCCATTTAAACAATGTTCTGCAACCACCACCTCTGTCTAATACCAAAACTTTTTCATCACCCCAAAAGAAAACCCTGCACCCATTAGGCATTCATTCCCTATCCCATCCTCCTCCAGCCCTGGGCAATGTTAATCTGCCTTCTGTCTCAATGGATTTACCTATTCTGAATATTTCACATATATGGAATCATACATTATTGTGATCATCTATAACTGGCTTCTTTTTCTTAGTATATTGTTTTTGAGGTTCATCCATGTTGTAGTATGTATCAATATTTTGTTCTTTTTTATGGCCGAATAATATTCCATTGCATGGTTATACCACAATTTGTTTATCCATTCACCTGTTGATAGGCACTTGGGCTGTTTCCCTGTTTTGGCTATTTTGAATAATGCTACTATGAATATCTGTGCACAACTATCTGTTTGGGTATCTGCTTTCAGTTATTTGGGGTATATACTTAGGAGTAGAATTTCTGAGTCATATGGTAATTCTTTTTCTTTTCTTTTTTTTCTCTTTTTGAGACAGAGTCTTACTCTGTCTACTAGGCTGGAGTGCAGTGGCTCACTGCAAC